ACCAGCAATCCAACCCCTCCCCGCATCAAAAAAAAAATAATGCTGGCACAGACAACCCGACAAATGCCATCGTGCCCCAGTCACAGCTCCACAAAATATGACTCCCCCCCCCCATCTCTGCATCCCCTCCCTCCCCAACATGGAGAAACCCAATCCTGATTACCAGCAGCTCACAGTCATGACGGAGACACCGGGCACCACATAATCCGCAGCTAAAACTTGCCAGCCCGACAAGGGCATATGCAGGTGGGCAAAGCATGGTGGGTAATAGAGGGTGGGGGGGGTTGGGGGGGGGGGTTTGTCAGTGATACCCTACAGCAGCGAGTGACGCCTCCAGGGGAAAAAAGGCAAAATAATGAGTGTCGCATTGACAGAGAGAGACGAGCAGAGAACAATAAGCAAAGGTGCTCCTGTGGGACGCCCTCTGTCATCCTCGAACTTCCTGAGCCGGCAGTCATGGCAAGAAGCTGCCAGGCAACTTAGCAAGGAATCCCCGCGTGTGCCAGTCCGATTCGGAGCGATCCGGAAGATCGAAAAGTTAATAAAGCACATTTATCATTTCTCAGTGCTTTTCCTGTGAAGAACTTTCGGGATGTTTCAGGTGATCAGACCTGGGGGGCATACTCTATGCAAATCGCAGTGTTCCTATTTCACCCAGAGGTAGGACAGACATAGGCAAGTTAGCAGGCAGTCCCGGGTTCACAAGGGTGCCAAAAGGTGCAGAGCACCCTCAGATCAATAATGCGAACCCTCGGGTGGAAGTCTATCAGTCCATGACAGTGACATGCATGTTGGGATCACGTCCCCTCGATAACTCTAGATGCACCATTATTGATTTTGTTCCGGACCCGGCATTGTTAGCAGAACAGCATATATATGTTTTCTTTACTCGGTTAGGGATGTAAACACCTTAACTAGGGAAAAAATGCCTGAAAGAAGCAGGAACACCGATATATCGATAGCACAGCCCTAAACACACATCCATCAGAAAAGGGCATGCAGTTAGGGTCGCACAGCGCTCAAGGTTAAACGCTTTTATCACACTTGCCAACGAGATATAAATAAAAATGCGTGCCGGCATCTCAGCGAACCGCATGAAATGACAACAGTGGATAGAGGAATCGCTCGGATTGGCATCGCCCTCCCAAACCCCCCCCACCCCCTGCACTTAATGAGAGCCACAGGATACCTGGAACACGGAGCCAGGCAAGTTTCCCCAAGCCTGGACGAGCACGACGTACATCTCAGGCTGAAACACACGCCTTCACGACCTCAAACAAACATCTGATGCATGCCACAGTCATACTAAAAATGCAGTGTGGTCTCTTTAAGGCTAAGGACTGTGATTTGCTCACTGCGAAGCATCCTGCCTCCCCCGGTCCTGGTCCTGACTCACTGCCCTTCCTTCCCAAACACAGCAGGTGGGACTCACTCGTTCTCATTGTTGGCTACCGCCGGACTTTAAAGTGCTCCCGGGTACACATCTGCACCGGCGACGTCGCCTCCTCCCTGGGCACTGTCTCCACTCTTCCCTCTCTTGATCTCTTTCTCTCTCTCTCTCTCTCTCTCTCACTCCTTCCCTCAGCTTCTCAACGTGGCACGACTGCAGCCAACGGCACTGGCGGGACTTCGGGAGAGGGTCACAACGCGGCATCGGCGGCTGACCGAGAGACGGCAAGATCTACGGCACTGCGAACAGCCACTGGCAGGAAACAGACGGAGCGCCTTCGAGCCTGCAGTGCCTACGGTGCAGGTGCAGTGAGCGGTGAGCAGTGGCTCCTGTCCACCAGCAGGGGGAGACATCATCCAAGAAAAAAGTTGGGACACGAGATACAGTTAATTAGCTATGTCTCTGCAATGATGACCTGGTCTCAGGTGACACTGGCCTAACAGGAGAGCTGCACAGGTTAAATCTGACTACAAAACAGAAAAGACAGATATCTCCCAGCACCACATGGGGCTTTGAAAACACACGTGATATCAAAGTCTATCTGCGAAACAGCAGTGAGTCAGAGAGAAAGGATCGCACACGTCGTTTGTAGAAATCACAAGACCCATAAAAAGTCAAGCCCCTACAAAGAAAAGAACCACAATGTTTCAGAAAAATAAGACACATTATTCCCAGAAACTCAAATCTGCATTCTTTTCTATCCCTGTTTGCCTAAGTCTGACGTAAGTCTACATCTGATCTCATGTCTTTACTGTTGCCCTTGTTGTCGTTGCTGAATTCTGGGTAAGATTCCTGAAGTTCTTACTTTCAGTACCTGTGAGTGGAAGCGCTGACATGTGGTTGGCCTCAGGGTCAGCAGCCCGACCCAGAGCTGCAGTCAAAGCACCTGCACATTTAACTGATCTCCGGTCAAACCCAGCAGAGGCTCATGCGAGACGTATCGCAGATCCCTGCCCTCGCGGGAAGTGGAAAGGGCAGGCTGTAAACTGGCCTGCAAGATTCTGTACCTGCTGCCACTTAATCACTTCCTCAGGCCGATTTCTCCGCCAGGAAACGCTCAGGGGCATAGTCGGAAATTCTGCAGCCCCTGGGAAAATATCAACTTGGGCCCCCTCAGTAGATTATGCCCCCCCCCTGAATCTGCCAGGATATCCATGCCCCTCTGCCGCTCCCCAGTAACACCAACAGAAATCACACAGACAGCAGAGACCACACCGACACTATGGGAGACTTTTACAAACAAGTAAAGTTATGAAATGCACTGAGTGGCCAGTTCATTAGATACACCTGCCAGCTAATACAAACAGCCTGTTCTTCTAAACAGGGAACCACATGGCTGCAACTGAACATATAGAGCCAACAGGGTCAAGGAGTTAAGTGCAGCAAACAGCTTAGACACAATAACTATTTATTTCTTTAGCAGGAGCTTTTATACCCATTGAAAGCCGGGTCAGACGGTCCCTGGAGCAATTGTGGGTTAAGGGCTCTACTCAAGGGCCCAATGGTGACATCATGCCAACAACTCCAGGATTTGAGCCAACAACCTTCCAGTTACAGACAAAGGACCCTATCCCACTGAGCCATGGGATCTAAGCTATTTTGAACATGGTGTGATAATGGATGGATGGATGAATGGATGAATGGATGGATGGATGGATGGATGTTGCTGGCAGCCATGTTGTTTACAGGATTTCAGACACAACCCACCCTCCTGGGTTTTTCCACACACTACAGCGTCTAGGTTGCATAGCATGGTGTCGGGCTGCATGGCACGATGAATTAGAAAAACATCCAGTCGGCTGCAGTTCTCTGGACAAAAATATCGTGCTAATGAGAGATGTCAGCGGAGAATGGCCAGACTCGTTAAAGCTAACTGGAAGGCCACAAGTGCAAAAATAACCGCCCAGATGAAGTGGTGGGGAGAACGGCTCCTTTGAATGCTCATCGACTCCCTAAGTAGTTCTGGGGGAGTCGTACCTGGTGCTTCTTAGATCTAGCTAATAAAGTAGCCATTGTGTGCATCACGCATACTAACCAGCACAGTTACAAACAAATCCATCTCCGGCTAACTGACATTATTTCTGTCGACGTGGAATTGAAGCGGGAGCCTTTGGCTACATCCTGATTTTCCAGCTGAGAAAAGAACAGATAATGCGAGACACCATGACAAAACACAGGAGATCCATGACCTGCAAAGTCTACGACTTTAAGCTTCTCAAACTTTGGTTAAGAAGCTTCTAGCTGAAAGAGTCCACAGAAGGATCCCTGCCAAGACCTAAGCCTCTAACCTCGCTGTCAGAAGTCCAGTCCATTCCACACTGTTCCAGCACTTTTACCCAAAAAAACTATGGGCTACCCATCAAGCAGTCCAGCTAAACAAGGAAAAAGCTAATTAACCCCAAATGCCCAGTGCAATGCTCAATAATAACTAACCGTCTTTATTTAGCAACTCTTTGTGCATAGAACAACTCAATTAGCTGGAAGGCTGAGAGATAATTTCCATGCATCTCCCAAAAGACCCAGCGAAGACCCGCGGCTGATGGTTTCACCGGG